AAGACTCCAAATTTAAGGAACCCTATTTTTTTAACATAGTAATAGGAGTAATAGGTTTTTAAAAAAATAATTGAGGACTTTTTTGTTTTGTTTATTGAGTATTGTTTGTAGAAAAAATAAACTTTTCATATAAACAAATTATTACGAGTTTGACATATCTATAGTACTATGTCTATGTCTCATGAAAGATTAATTGAATTAACTAGATTATCAATTGAAAAAAAATATATTAAAAGAATGATTATAAATTATTTTTTTATCAATTTTGCATCCCAAAAAGCGAGAAGAATAGACTTCATAAAAAAAAATATATATATTTTAAAAATATTTAAGGCCTCCATTTGATTTTAGTTTTAGGTCATTAATGTTCTTGAACGGTCCTCCACACAACCAACAAATACGTGTAATTGTCTTGTCATTCATCCACTCTTATTTCTCAATGAGAGATCTTATGTTCACACTCTCTGAATAAAAAATCTTCAGAAGGGAACATTTCCTCTTTCGTGGACTTTATGTTGCGAAAAAAATAGAACAATTCGTTTAGTGAGTTTTGAATACCGAATGAATATATGTAAAAAGAAAAAAAAAGTAATTTCTCAATATTAGTTTTCGTTTTGTTTTTTATTATGTGTTTGGTACCAATTTTAATTCCCCGATCAATTTGAATTCATGCAATATAAGACTTATTAAAGAAAGAAACATTTTGTACCAAGATTTTTTTTATTCCTATGCTCGAACTCGAATCATCATATTTATCTATCTCAACATAACTTTTAACAATACGATAGAGTTCGATATTAATATTCACACGTGTGATCGTCCAACTCAAAATATATTTATAAGTTGTAGAATTAAGTAGTATTTATTGTGAAATCTTCTTGCCGACATATATATTATATATAAATAAATTAGTTTACTCATTGCGTTTGTGATTTAATTTGAGTTTATTGGGAAAAAACTTAGAAGCTCTTTTTATCAATGTTACTAAAATAATTATGCAATGACAGAAGCCAATTAGGTGCTAACACTCTGTTTGGATCATTGTTATTCATCGTTTTATAATGTATTATACTCTATTATACTGTACTGTATGGTAGATACAATGTTTGGCTAGATTGTATTGTTTATTGTTGTTTAATAACATTTTAATTGTTTGGTTTGATTATATCATACTGTATTGTAATTGATAAATTTACTAAAATATCCTTAATTATCCTAGGGTAGGAGGTTTGACTAGAATTAAATAATATAAGATAAAGGGTAAAATAGTATTTTGAAATATTATGTAAAGATATAATTGGAAAAAGAAATTAAGTAACAATGGGAACACATCAAATCGGTTGTTCCATAAAATAGGGATTTTCATTGTTATGTAACAACGAAATTTAACAATATAATACAATACATTTTAAGTAACAATCAAAACAAACATTGTAGATATACTAACGATATAATACAATACAATGGATAACAATGATCCAAACATAGTGTAAAAGTACAAGGACAAACAAAGTTGTTCTAATGAATAATAGAAACAAAAGAAAGTTTCCAACTTGTTAAAATAATAATGTCACCAAGACCTTACAACATGCAGACCCATATTGACATGCTAACTCTCACAAGGGCCTAGCTAGCCCCCCCACTCCCTTTCACCCACTCTGCAATAAATGCACGTACAGATAAATTCAAAATTTAAACTTTGAAAACATTTTAGATAACCTTAACAAAATTAGTTATAGAATGATAGTATGAATCAATGATAATGGAATCGATTGGATTCACTCCACTACCAAGGGTTACATGATAGTTGTATAAGTATTTTTTTCATTCCTTATTAGACGTATTTAAACTCTAGTACTGGTATAAAATCGTCTTTGATGAAAAATATTTTACTTATTAAAAGTGAAATTTCTCAATATAAAATTGAATTTAATCAAACATCAGAACCGTACTAAACACCCAAAAATAAAAATGAGGGGCCAATCTCATATAAATTTGCCATACCCACCAATCTCATCTCTCTTTATCTTGTTCCACGTTTTTCTTTTTAAAATTATAAAAATTGGAAGAGTATGGGACTCCCACCTAGATCCTTAATTATTATGCAAATTCGGATATTCTTTTCTTTATATATATATAAGAAAAAGACTGATCTATCCTTGAATTTCGTAGCCATTGCTGTTAATTTTAAATATTTTAAATGGGGGATATATTACTTTATGTTGTGCACAACTACTAGCAATTTTTATTTCTAAGTGATTCTTAGGTTTGACATTTTTTTTAATTCTGTAAACTAAAAAATTCAGTGGATAATTAATGAATGACAACTCTTTTATAGCTTTTTTTTTTTTTTTTGCCTAATTCTTATAAATAGGAGTGATATTTACAATAATATAGAGCTTATCTTTGAAACTTAGACACCAAATTCATGTGGTATATGGTTGAACACGATAATATTTTAAGTTACTTAAAATTTTCAGAGTATTTAAAATACGTCACTTTTAATGAATCAAATTAAAAAATTGTGATATAATACACATGTCTGATTTAAACACTTTAACAATTAGCTAACCTGGTCCATTCTTGAACAAAAAATGAGGTCAGTGTAACTGTGTAATTGAACCAAAATTGCACCTAAGGAGTAAGGACATGGCTTATAATTTATATATTGGTCAATGCAATTGATATGGACCCACTATAACAAAAATAACTTTTAACGCCAATAAATAGATACATTAATAAAGAGTGTTAAAGTCTTTATCGGCATTTGTTAAGTGTCATTAGATTCAATATCACTAAAGGTTTTAGGGACATATATAAAGAGTACTAATTGCTGCTAAAAATATATATTTAGCGGCAATTAAACTATTACCGTTAATTAATTGTTGTTAAAGACCACTTTTTATGTAGTGACCATGTGAACTAAAGTCAGGAATATTTCTTTTTCAAAAATGAATTGAATTACTCTATATTTATTCGAATGAAAAGTGATACTATATAGATACAAAATTAGTAAAGTGTGACACTACCATAACCTAAGAACGCTTTTGAAGTAATTACTATAAGAGATTAACATTTAATCACTCCGCCATGTGTATTATATTATTTTTTATTTAAGGGTCGTTTAATTATGTGAAATGAAATCGTGATTTGAAATTATGACATGAAATCATATGAGATAAAGTTGAAGTTTTGTTAGGACATACCGTTTGTATTTTTTAGTTGTATTGTTTGTTCATTAATATAAAAACCTAGCTAATAGGTGAAAACTATTAAAATTGCTCCAATTTTCTTTTACAATCTTACAAAATAAGCAAAAGTTCATAATAAAAATATAATACATTATCACAAAACTATTCTAAAGAAATATAACATTTATTGATCGAACTTAAATTCAATAAAATATAAAATTGAACATGAGTTGTTTGTTTACTACATTGTTCTAGAATATTCCTCTAGAAAGTAGAAACTCTTTATGGTTTGAAAATAAGACACAAGACAGCTACTAACATAACGGTTTGTCAACTAATTTGTTCAATTTCAACATTCACAATCTTTTGCCGTAAAATAAATTCCTTTTAAAAAAACGTTTGTTAAAGCCAAATCCAAATGGGACCTAAGAGACTTGTATTTTATTTAGAAAAATTGACATAAGTAATCATTCACTAAAATAATAGTTTGGAAATATATATTTTTTGGTATATTATTAATATATGATATACATATAATATATTTGAATATTAAATAATTAATAATATTTTTTATATTTAACTATTGCATATAGTTATTTTTAGTTGATCGACTTAATGTGTGTCCTTGATTAAACGGCATTTTTATATTTTTAGTTGATCGATTTAATGTGTGTCCTTGATTAAACGACATTCAAATATAGAGCGTTAATTATTCAAAGCTACCACATAGACACAAACCCCTAAATTTTTAGCGTATTGTCTCTTAAATGTTAAGAGTAGGGGTGGGGCGGCGGGATTGGCAAATCCCAAAATCCAATTAAAATCGAATATTTTAGATATTTGATATGAATTTTAGGATTATGGATACTGGATTTCGAATCTTATTTTTAAAATTTATGAATTTTAGATTGGATATTTGTTTTACTACAAATATTTGGATCTTTGAAAATTCCAATTTTTATGTCTTATATTTAGTTTTATCAGATCATGAGTGCAATGTTATTAAGTTCAGTTTTCAAAGGTTCTATAGATTAGTACCCTACGTCCCTATCTATTACAATATCAAGTCCAATATGAAACTAATAACATAAGTGGCAGAGTGGTCTCAATCATGTTAACCATAGAAAATTTTACACTCTAACTCTCTAAGGAGCGAACTATTAGGTAAATTGAAGAAGGTTTACACTCTAATTAATCTTTATAGTCGTAATTTATAGTACATAATAGAACGTTAGGTTGGAGTTTATAGCACATATGTGTAGAGTAGAGATATTGTATACTACGCGTGGAATGTGGATACAAGTGAACACATAGAGTAAATTTAATGCATTTCAATATTATTATATGTGCAAACACAGTACACTTCGCTTCTGAAACCAAAATGCTGCTTCATTTCATTTCATTACATAATTAAGCTATATCTCGCTATACACAACCCTCAAATTAAAGGAAAGAGAATTTGTTATTATATACGTTCAAATATGTTATTATAATACATATGTTAGTATTTGTTTTGTAAGCTATTTTTGTTTTTTTATCTTTAAACCACACTAGGAATAGTTTTAGCAACATTAAGCATTCCTACAGTAGTGTATTAAATCATTAACAATGTCAGTTTAGAAGTGTTATATGAACACAGGAGTAATTTGTTGATGAAAGTGCTACACGTAGTTGAGAGAATTTTGAACTAAAACGCACCATCCTTGTTGAAATTTTCATTGATGAATGTGATCGAACATACAATAAATGAATTGAACATGGAAAAGGGACACGGTTAATAAAAGACAAGATATGAACTTCAAGATTTCATTTGAGAAGGATAACAAAAAGCACTGCAACATTCCTAAGTATGAGACTACCACCTAATGAAAAGAATTATGCTCTCCACACGAATATGTACAGAACTAGTTGCTATCTTCCAGGTCCCCCCATATCAACATTTGGGACTCTACTCAGTCAGTTTATATGTGTTCCTGTGACTTGCTCATCAGCAGCTCGTAATGGTTCTGCAAATCACAGACTTGCCATCTGACCAGAGTTCCATGTTCAGAGCCTTCAATGAGTTTGGTAACTTTCTGAAACAATATCCCCACATGGCCAAGTTCAGTTCCCTCTCTGTCCTGGGCTTCTTTCATGGACTAGTTGTCTTGTCAAGGCCAGACATACTACTTACACCATGCTGCAAAGTCTCTAGGGTCAGTCTCGATGGTATATATCATCAACAGAGAAGCAATCATAGAGGGTTGCCATTTTCCAGCTGAATGGCTGAATATTCAAGATCATTTGCTGAGATAAGCTTTTTTCCTTCTCATCCCAACCGAAGCAAGCATATACTAACAATCATTTATTTCAAACATTTACCATTATAATCTGTCAGCAAAAGAACTTCAGGCACGACTGAGCGAGCTCCCATGCTCAAAGTCCCATTAACTGGTTAAAGCTTCCAACAGTACCACCATAATCAACCAGGATCTCTTCCTTTCTGACATACCCACCCATTCTCTTCATTGACAAGAATTCTTTTGTCAAACAATATTCTGAACACGAAATCTGCTGCTTGACCAGCTGTGTTATCAACCTCTGTCCAAGCCAGGAGCAAAGTCTTCTGGAAAAAAAACAGCTTTCTTACTTCCATATAGCCTTCCATTCTTGCATCACCAAGGAGTACTTTATACCAAACCATGTTGCACATAAGATCAGCATGTGTAGCTGTGCCATCAACCAATCTCCTAGCCAGGAGCAAAGACACCATCAGGAACAAAAATGATTGGTCCCTGTGATATGTGGCACATATTCATGGACACCAACTACAGGTCTCTTCTCCCAATTCCAGCTGTATTTTGCCTCCTTTGTATACCATTTTGCCAGGCATCTCTAGATCTATCAGCAGGTTGATCAAAATCATTCAACGAATTGTCCAGTGATGGCTTAGGATGCCTATAACTTCCATTCCTTACATGTAATGCATTTGGCTTTTCATCATCTTCTGAAGGTGTTCCTGACCTGGGCTCCATGTGTGGATCATATATTCTATGTCGTAACCCAGATCTTAAATCTCGATTATTAGACATATTGGTCGGTGGAGCAGCATGAGAAGCTGCCTTGGGTAGCAAGAAGTCCTTAGGCAAAGTATCCATGTCCATGTAACATTTTCTGGTTTTGGCATCAGCAATCAATGCAGCCCAATCTTCTGATTGCACCAGAGCATTGGCATTACCCATTACCTGTTAAGAGAACAATAAAGATTAAAGTTAATATTGACTCATGTTGCCGTTTGCACATATATATTATGACTATATAGCATTATGCACATAAACAGAGACCCAAGTAACATACCCAAAGAGCTCGTCTTGCACGAGTAAGAGCAACGTTCATTCGCCGTATATCTGCAACAAACCCAACCCCATGACCTGAGGCACGCACACATGACATTATAATAACATCACGCTCTTGACCCTGGAAAGCATCCACAGTATTTATGTAAATGTCCTTTCCTTCTTCAGAATTTAAAACATCCCCGAACTCCCTTTGGAGGCATTTAAGTTGCAGCTTGTATGGAGTGATTATACCTACAGTAACCTTCCCAACACCAAGAGATTTACAAGTTTTTTGAAGATGCTCATACAAACGAAGACAGAACTGTGCTTCATGTGTATTCTGATATGAAACAGATCCACCTCTATGTGATTCCCGACCATGTGTAATGTCATAAAAGATATAAGGCTTCAGTAAAGGCTCCTTGTAGTAAACTTCGTCAGGCAGATTCACAACACTTTCACTATCACTAAGGCGGCCTTGATAAAAGTACCTAGACGGAAAATCCCTAATTTGTGGGTGCATCCTGTACTGCACTGATAACAACATAGTTGGGCAGCCTGCTTGCTGAAACCTCTCAAAGAGGCTTCTACTGTACATCAAAGTTCCAGCTGCTTTGCTGATAACCGTAGCAGGAAGCTGCTGCGGATCCCCAACAAGAACACATCGTGCTGCACCAAGAGAAAGAGGAGGAAGGACTCCTACTTCACTGGCCTGGGCTGCTTCATCAATGACTACCATGTCAAAACCATGGGTAAGACGAGAGAATAATTTTCTCCCACTACTTGAGACAGTAGTGAAAACAATTTCAGCTTCATTGGCAAAACTAGCCTCCAGACTAGCACGAGCTTCCTCCATGTTGAAATTGTTACCACCACGGAACCTACTCTCTAAAATCAGAAGGCGGGACATCTCCACCAGTATTTTATCTCTATTCTCAACCACTGCCGCAAGGTTCTGCAATAGAGTATCTCGATTTTGGTCCCTAGCCATAAGAACATCAGGGTCAACTCCAACAGATCCCTGTGCACGACCAGCAGCTGCAGCAACTGTTAGTTCTCTTTGAAGGCCAGCTATCTGCTGCGACAACTGAGCTTCACGAGCTCTCAACTGGTGCATCCACCCATAAACTTCATCACGACTCTTCATCAAAAGCTGTTCAGTCCTCCGCTCCACAGAAACTGCTTGGGCGGCACGCGTTTGGGAATCCACCCCAACTCGTGCAACATCAGGTCGATAAACTTTCATCTCACCGTCAATGAATCCACGATCAAGAACACGTGCAAGAAGCTCGTCAGTTGCAGCATTTGAAGGAGCACAGACAAGCATTCTAGGTTTTGGACATAGCTTTGGGAGGGTTCTGAAGAGATTCTGATCCATGCTTAGCAGGACTTCATCAATGGATCCAGTAACAACATTATCGGAGTTATTCTCGTTATTCTGCTTATAGCTTTCAGGAGCTAGTTTCTTGAGCAATGCTGTGTAATAGTGCTGATACTGAACAAGATGGATGACATTCAGCATTCCCCACACTGTGTGTGTTTTACCTGTACCAGGTGGCCCTTGAACTAGAGTAAAAGGCCATGGATCTTGCCTCTTTGTCATACCATTAGTTCCAGCAGCTGTATGCGTTGCAGCCCACTGGATTGCTGCTAACTGTGGTTCATTAAAGGTCCTGTGCAAGTGGTCAGTAAAGTTTGGTGTAAAGCAGTCAGGCATTGAAGGTGTCTGCTCTTCATACTTAGGGAAGTGCTCCGGACTGGGCTGAAGAATTGCATTTTGCATCTACACATAAGACCATAATTCTTTATTCAAACTGGTAAACAGGCAGAAAAGTAATTTCCAGGAAAGAGCTGGCTTTAAGATATAACCTGTAGATTAAGACGCCGAAATGCATGTAAAGCTACATATTCTCGTTGGGTGGTAGCTAGAGAACCCAGAACAGTCAGAAACCAGATGCCTCTTGGTTGCAGTTTCCGCAGTATGTGATCACTACCAATATTGCTGAAAGAACAAAATACAAAGACGTTTAGCTCACTAGTAACAAAGGCGGAAGGAATTAAAAAGCCTAATCACTGACCTGTTGGTGTCATACGGATCTCCAACATAGAAGTGCAGGATGGCTCCGGCAGGGTCTCGAGTATCAATAGGTATGTGTCGCCTCACAGTACCAGCCACACGACCACTAATTTCAGGCTCATCACCATCCCCGAATGTTGAGGTGCCACTTCTCCGTGATCGGACTGCTTAATTGGTACGGAAATATTAAGAAGAAACATGGGGAATTTGAAATACACACCAGCAGAATGTTATATAGAACCAACCTGATCCAGGACGTGGAGTGGAGAGAACTGCTACATCTCCCTCTTTGAATAACCACTTCCACTCACAATCTGGAAAAAGGATTACATCATACCATCCTGTGCAGAAGGAACACAGTGCTGATTAGAAAGGGAGGAAAAGAAATTCAGCCAGGCCGACCAAAACTTCCCGGCTCTTAAACTTTCTCTTTAATGTGTGTGTGTGTGTGTTTACTCTCTCAGAGTGAAGCCATTCTAAGAGTAAGCTATATTAAGTGGACCTCCCAAACACTTCTGTTATCCTCAATACAGTAAAATTTGTCATGCTTGATACTCGAAAACCTAGAGATAAAATGAAAAAATGAATCCCTCAAGAGCAGCTCAAAGTCACAACATTAACTGTTCGACCTCCTTCGTCCCCACTGAATGATGAGGGAATTGAATAGCTTCCCAAATATGTATTTGGTATAAACAAAGTTGTTCTTCATATCCAAGTCAAAGGATAAAATAAATATATAAATAAAGTTGCCACATTATACCTCTTTCTCGCCGTTCAATATTTTTAATATGGACCCTCACATGGGTTCCTGTATCAGCCATCTCCTCCCAAGTACTGTACAGCTGTGCCCGGCATTCCTCAAAGAGCAAGGGTTCAAACACCTTAACATACTCTTCCACAGATTCAAACTGACCAGGTACACACTGAAGCTCCGCTTCATCTGACATGAAGAGAGAAGTTCACCCCTTAATAATACACCATATGATGGAGCTTCATGCACCACACCACGTTTTGACATAACAAAGGCAAATAAGAAATTGAAAAAAAAAATCCTTATGAGGCTCAAGGAGCAGTACAATGCGACTCACTACTCAACATGCCTAAACAGGTGCTTCAGAGGAGCAAACCGAAGAATCATTAAACAATAAAGTTAGCTAACACATAGATGTACTCAGAACTTTATCCTGATACATATGAACAGGTTAGTCATGGAAATCATGAAAAATACACTAATAATCATATAGCCAACTTTGAGATGACACAAAAAATTCTTCCATCCCACAAGCTATCCTGATGATTGAGATGCCCACCAGATGAAGCTGGAGGATCCCCTTTGCTATGCATGGGCCTGAGTAATATAAACACCACTACTTAATAAACTAAAACAGTAAATCCTGCCTCACCAAGCATCCCATAGGACAGGAAGCTAAATATGGCCAGTAAAACAACCTAGAAGAAAGTGGTAGTATAAAACACATGTTATTGAATACACTTGAACCATCATAAGGAACTGACTGATCATACAAGAAAGAGAGATGCAACAATGTTCAGCTGGTAAAATGGTACCAGTTTATAGCTTTCCAATGAAAACAAAAAGAAAGTTTTATGATCCAGAACACTTGAAAAATGAAAAATACAACATAAAAGAAGTTTAAAGGGTTAGTAGATCTTGAATGACCACTTCGGTCCAGTGCCCAGTGGGAAAAAACACATACTTGCTTCTTCGAATAAAACCTAGAGCAAAGATGAATTCTGTACTATCTCATGACACAATCATTATTATAGTGCACAAGAAAAAGTGAAGGGATTTGCTTGTGCACCACTCATTCTAACAATTTTCTAGGGAAATGCAAAATTTTGATAAAATAAATGCCTATCTCCCATCACTTACCTTACTAGGCACAGTAAGAGCAATGCTCTATTGAAACCTAAGTTGGAGCATCAGAAAGCTGGACATACCCCAAACAAGAATCAACAAGAAAAAGTTTATATGCTAAGATAGCTTAAAAAGCACAGAGAAGAAAAAAAAATTCAAGACAGAAGACTAACGAAGCAAATTTTGATTCAACAAAAAGTAATGGTAATAATCACAATGATAAAAGATGAGAATAATAATCAAGTGGAACTCAAAAGTACCTGGATGTTGCCAAAACTTCTCGTTTGTCACCTCACGAATAAGGCGTTCTACAGATGTATCTTGGCACGGGCTACTTACTATAGGTTGCTTCTTGGATGGAGGTTTTTTGGCTCCCAATTTTGGTTCCATGGAATTTTGACTGGTCAGAGCAGGCTTCCTACCAGGCAACTGTGAATTTCTATTTTGCCTCTGATCTGTGGGATGTTTCCAAGAACTCTGTCTAGGTATAGGTGGTGTTTGAGCCTCAGACGTGAGGTCAGTAGCACTATTCAACCGTCTTGGCCGACCTAGAGGTGCTAGGTTCACATCAGCACTGGATTCAGATCTAGAATCATTAGATTCCACAGGTAAGTTTCCTTCATTAGTTGAATCAATTTGTTTCATATCTTTGACAAGTACCTGACTCTGCTTTTCCCCATTCTTTTCAGAAGGCGAAGGAACATTACGAGACTCTTTCACAATGCGAGTTGTAACAGGTGCTGGGAAATTTTGGCGTCTAGCAATACTTTTTTGAGAACCTGCCTGTTTAACATCTTCCAAATCAAGAAACATGGTCTTCCTACTGCGCTTCTTTCCCAGCATCGCTTCCTTCTGTTGGTCAACCTTAGGACGCTTACCAAAATTATTAGCACACTTCAATGCATGACTTGCCTCAACACCTCGAATCTCTCTATGCTTTGGCACCTGCCCAGAATCCTCCTGACCATCCATGGTGATATCAGCTTTACTACTGGTTTCAGAATTTCTGCTACTATTGCTTTTCCTGTCACTTGTATCACGATCTAATTCTAAAGAAGAAATATTGTAATTTTCACCATTCCCTTTCTCGTTATCCTGAGAAGCATTATCAACAGAGCCAACTTTATCACTATTGCTCACCGGCTCAACTGCTGATTTCTCCTGCGAAGCTTTATCAACATCAGTATTCGACTTATCATTCAAGCCACAATTTTTATCTGCATATGTTGAACCCTCTGCATCAGACCATTCACCTTCTTCCTTTTCAGTCACTTGCATATCAAGAGAGTTAAGATCTGGCTGGATCAAAGACTTCATTGTATGTTCCTGACTTGATTTAGATAATGAAGCGCCACCCGAAGTTGAAGGCCCAGCACTCCCATGTTCCTCGGGAGCTCTAGATGCCTCTGCACCTTTTGACCGAACAAAGGGCTGAAAACCTGAAACGGAAGAGGCATGGGAAAATGCATGATTGTTTACTATCCCCGGAGGATCAACAGACGATGCCAAAAACTCAGAAGTGTTGGTACTAGAAGAAGGAACTGCTCTCTGAGGCAGTAAACAGAGGACACCATCATTAACCTGCTCATCCTCAGCAGGGGGTTCATTAAGATCAAACAACGCCCTTCCTTTAGAACCCATCTCAAATATAATTGCATATACACTGAACAAAAAGAGCTTATACCACCACCTCTTGCAAATATTTAATTCTCGCAGAGCTATCGACAACTATTCTAACACCTCTTTATTGCTCAAAGATCATTAAAAGCAAGAAAGACTGCAATTTGGGGAATGCAACAAACTTGATTAAAGGACAACAGTCACATCCATCAAACACATAGGTTTGCAATTCACTCTACAACATAAGGCTTACATCATCGTCGTCTATTTGGACTACTAAAATCATGAAGCAAGTGAATTTCTTTAGTAGCAGTCAGCACTCACAAGTCACAGCTACAGTTGCAAAATCTTAAAAACAGGAACGTATAGTTATAGCCTGCATGATCAAATTAATATTTCAATCAGCAATTCATCTTTCAGCAGAAAAAAAAAAAGGAAAACCAAAAAAAAACTCAGGCATGCTATGATCGGGGAGTTAAACTCTTGAATCTTGATTGTTACAGTAGCACAAAGATTAACTGTGTCATAATCAATGAAACAATAAAGAGAAGGCAAAAAGACACTGAAAAATCATCACCAAGCTCAAGCCCTAAAAGTATCTGCAATTTCAAATCCTATGCAACACCATGCAATTACGAATGAGCCTCAACAACCAAATACGAGGAAAAACAACTACAGAACTAAGAGGAAGGAAAATGGGCTACAGAGATTGCACAAATTCCAAAGAAAGTTTATCAGTTCTTTTCAAAATTGGTGCCTATATTTCTCCTTTTTTTTTACACCTCGACTAATTCCAAGAGTAACCACCTCCCACCAGCAACAGGTATCAGACAAATGGGACACCTCACAATTGGGATTCGAACCTGAGACCTCAATGTTCTCAAACCCACTTCACTAACCACTAGGCCACACCCATTCCCCTTGGGTGCAATTCGTTCCTATATTACACATATGATTTTTCCAATCTGTATATGAACTATATCCAAATGCCTAAAAATTCTGTATGTCAATATTCTCTCATAGCCCTCCAAAAGATCTACCCATATTCCCCTAACAAACCCTAGCCTCAATCATTCACATCTATTAATCCACCATTACAAACTCATCAAAACAACACATAAGCAGTCCTATCTTTTCATTTCCCCACAATAAAATATACAGTAAGTAATGCAACAAACAGTACCCAACTCCACAAAATGAATGATGCATCAAAAACAAATCCAACCAATGTGACAAAAATACACTCAGTACATAAATAATACAGCTAACAACAACTATCACCCAACTAAATCACCCCTAACACCTTTCAAGGTTGAATACCAGATTGAACCCTACCAATCAAAAAAAATCATCAAACAGATACAATCTTAACCAATTCCAATTAGGGTTTCCAATAATCTAACAACCAATCAAAAAAAATTAAAAATTTACACAAACCATTAGTCAATTTACCAAAGAAATTCTCAATTCCACACACACTATTCACTTCAGATCAAACCCAATTTAATCCACTAAATAGTCACTTTTTCGATCTATTTTTCAACAAAATTTATTCGATCTATTTTTTATTTACTCTTTTACTATTAATTATATATTATTATTATTAATTAATCAAATTGTGTGGAGAGAGAGAGAGAGAAAGAGAAGGGAAAAGTACCTCCAAACAGCACCACGAAATCTAGAAAGGGTCAAAGAGAAAAAAAAAATTATTAATATAAATAAAATTTTGATTTTATTTATATTAAAATAATAAATTTCTCTTATTTTTACTATATAGTTTTTGTGCTTTGTATATCTGTAGAGAAAAATAACAGAGAGTTTTTTCTAGAGAGAGAAAGAAGAGAACACAAATGAAAGTGAAGAGAATAGAGTGGGGAGAGCCCTATTTATAGGAAAAATACAAAGCCCATGTGGCCCGCCGGAGAAAACGCCGATCACCGTTAATTTAATTTTTCCGGCAGATACTTAATCTGACGGCGTTCACTTTATCTTTTTAATTTGATTAAATTAAACCTACTTTGTCTTTTTCATAAGAAGTATAATAATGATTTGGTGTACGTAAATACCCTTTGGTTTTTCTTTATTTACATAGTGTAAATAATCAATATTGGAGAGTAAATTTGTTATTTCTTTTAGTGTTTTGCATGATTTTCTGTCTAGATACATTTAACAATAGTATATATAAAAGAGATTCGTGTTTAAATTTTTATTTTTTTTGGACTTTTAAGGAAAAAAAGGAAAATGAAGAGAGATTTAATTTTTCATTTTTTAGTATGTATTAATTAGATTAATTAAAGAAAGTTTCCAAGAGAGAAAATAGGTAAGGTGTGAATAGGTTCATATGTGGTTATCATATTTGTCACTTATCAAAATATTAATGTCATGTTGATAGAGTTTTTATAATATTAGTTTATTTTAATTTTATACATTAATGATATTAGAAAAGACTATATTTATTTTTTTTGTAATTTGATTTGCTCTATAGCAAAATAAATTGTCTCTTTTATTGTGTTATAGATGTTTATATGTAATTTTGTTTTAGATGATATGATTATGTAAATTTATCTAGTATAGTTCATATATAATAGTGTCGCGCCCTAAATATGGAGAGGTACGATATGCATTCGATGCTTCACTAGATTGAGAGAATCAAATATAATATGCATAATTATTTTTTATCACGGGCTAAATATGGGGAGGCAAACATTCGGTGCTTCACTAGATCGAGTGAATCAAATATAACTCGCGTAATTATTTTTTGTCACGCCCTAAATATGGGAGAGACAATAAGCATCAATTGTTTCACTAGATCAAGAGAATAAAAAAAAACTTGTGTGATTGTACTTTGTCAGGCTCTAAATATGGCGAGGTGCGACAAGCACCCGATGCTTCACTTGATCGACTGAATCAAACATTACTCACTAATTATACTTCATCACGTCCTAAATATTGGGAGGCGCAACAAGTATCTGGTGTGTCACTAGATCGAGTGAATCAAACATAACTCACATAATTATCTTTTTGTAACACCCTAAATATGGAGATGCACGATAAACATTTGGTGCTTCACTAGGTCAAGCGAATCAAATATAACTTGCGTGATTATCTTTTTGTCACGTCCTAAATATGGAAAGGCACGATAAGTATTCGGTGTTTCACTAGGTCGAGCAAATCAAATATAACTCACATAATTATTTGTTATCATGCCCTAAATATGGGAGACACAACAAGCATCAGGTGCTTCACTAGATCGAGAGAATAAAAAAACTCGCACGATTATACGTTGTCACGCTCTAAATTTGGGGAGGTGCAACAAGCACCCGGTTATTCACTAGATTGATTGAATCACATAACTCACATAATTATACTTCGTTACGCCTTAAATATAAGGATGCGCAACAAGTATCCAGTGTTTCACTAGATAGAGCAAATCAAACATAACTCGCGTAATTATTTTTTTGTCGCGCCCTAAATATGGAGAGGCACGACATGCATTCGGTGCTTCACTAGATCGAGTGAATCAAATACAACTCGAGTAATTATTATTTTTCAAACCCTAAATATGGAGAGGCACGACAAGAATTTGGTGCTTTACTAGATCGAGCGAATCAAATATATCTCACATATAATACACTAATGTGACCTTTAACTTGCCTCATTTCACATTAATACCTTCTAACTTTTGATGTCCACAAGTAGACACTTAAACTTGTATAAAGTTGAACAAGTAGACACATGAGTCCTATGTGGCATAATACATATTGGACACCACGTAGTATGCAAATTGCCACGTAGGATGTGTGTGTCTATTTGTTCAATTTTATACAAGTTTAAGTATCTACTTGTGCACACTCAAAGTTAAAGGTCATAATTTCTAGCTGACGTCAAGTTAAGGGTCATGTTAATGTATTATGCCTAATTTTAATGTTAGTGCAATACATAATTATTTTTTTTGGGTCAAAACTGATAATTATATTAACCAACTGAAATTTGTACATATTGTGCTGATGTGCTCCTTGAACTATGGTCTTTAACTTTGGGTGTGTACAAGTAGATACTTAAACTTGTATAAAATTGAACAAATGGACACATTCGTCCTACATGGCACTAGGATCTTACATGTCATCCTACGTGTATTATGTCATGTAGTACACGTGTGTTTACTTGTTCAATTTTATACAAGTTTAAGTGTATTTGTGCACACTCAAAGTTGAAGGGCATAGTTATCCACTAAAGCAAGTTAAGGATCATATTTATGTATTATGCCTTAAAATTATCATACAAATATTTGCTTTGTCATTATATTTTCCTTCTTTAGCATTTTTTTTGCGAAACCACTTAACTAAGACAAATTAAATGTATATAGATTTATTTATTTTATTCTTAGATATGTTCTTAATTAAATCAATAAAACAAAAGTTTTGTCATAGAAAATAAATAAAATTTTAAGAATTGACAAAATCTATAGGATACTAGGATAATATCATTGGACTATTTTGGAAAAATTATTATGATAAAATAGTTTGGTGATGTGAAAAGAAATTATATCTGACTCTTCTATTTATCACTCACCAAATATCAATATCTATTATATTAATGAAGTTACTATGAATTAATTTATTTTAATTTTATACGCAACTAATTTGAAATGTCACATATTTTGTGTAATTTAATTTGCTCTAAACAAAAGGTCAGGTTTGTATTGATCCAATAGAAAACGGTCATTTTTTAAGGAACTCACCGAATAATATAATGTTTTTCTTATTTTGTTATAGATATTTATATGTATAAATTTTAGGAATCACATAGTTTTAATATGAAATTACAATCTATCCCTATTTAGTTTGTAATTACATTAATCCCTGAAAAAAGTAAAACAAATCGGATACATAATATGTAGCTCTGATACATTATAAAATAAACCGGATACATAATATGTAGCTTGGATACATTAAAAATTAGCTCGGATACATTATAAACTAGCTCATATACATTATAAAATAATTTAGAATTAGGAGAGAAATAAGGGATTTTAGAGGTTTTTAGAAATAGAAAGGAATATTAGAAATAAGGGAAACATAAGACGTGTATTTTAGTAATTTTTCCTATTTATATACATGTAATTTTATTTTAAATGGCATAATTAATGTGCAAGTATGTCTCATATTGTCATTGCGTGATTATATTTTTTAAAAACACTAATTAAATATTTAATATCTAAATGATGTAACAAGTCAACTTAATCAATTTTCATATTGTAAGTGCTTAAAAGGGGATTCTAACTTCAACATAGATGATTAATATTTATTTAATTGATATAAACAAGTTATGTACTTGTGTTGTTATGTTTTTATAAATACAACTGTATATAATGAAAATTTCAACATGTCTCCCACGTAATTCACATCTTGTTTGATATTTCAAAATCTAATAAAAAAAAATTGTCACACTAGTATAAACAAATATCATTTGAAATATTTATTTTTATTATGAAAACATTATTTTTAGTATTTCTTTCTAAACTTCTTAACAAATTTAAATTAAATAAATATTTAAAATATAATTTGGTATGTTCTTGATTAGATTAATAGAATAAATAGTTTTCCAAGGAAAATAGGCTAATTTGGTGTGTTCTTGATTATATTAATAGAATAAATAATTTTCCAAGGAAAATTGGCAAATTATATATTAAAAAAATTATAATAATATTTTTGGACTGTTTTGGAAAAATTCTGATGAAATTATTTGATAGGATAAGAAAAATTGTATTTGACTCTCCTATTTGTCATTCACTAAAATGTTAGTATCATATTGATGAAGTTACTAATTGTACAAAATTTCATAGATTTTGATTTGCTTTAGTGTAAACTAAATTTTTAAATTTTTATTATATACATTTATATGTAATTTTTAAATGACATAATAATGCAAAGACCTTCATATTGTTCATGTGTAATTAAAAGAAAATTTGAATATTGATATAAATAATATGAACAAAATTGAGTTCGAAGAAGAGGGGGAGGAGGGGATAATAGGACCTTCACATTGTTTAAGCATGTAATAATACAAAAAATTACGTTCAGAAGATAATAATCCCCTCGTCTAGTTTACATGTGTAAATGACAATTTCGCCATATTCCCAAAAGAGTTTTGTGTTTTTTATCCTAATAAAAATTATGATGAAGGGTAACGATTTGTTTCCGTCGTTATAGAAAAGCCAGCAGGGAAAAATTTTGGGCCGGAAAACATTTTCGTAGTAACTTGAAATTTTTCAACCTAGTCGAGATTTGGACGAAATAGGAGTCAGTAAGGTTTAGGGATATCTAGTAACAATTGGGTGATCTAATTATGATTTTGATCACATAAGTAGATAGCTAAGACGTTAAGGAACCCGTACGACTTTACGTAATTGAATTCGGGCGAGTAGAACTCTCGAAACTGACTTTAGCGTGAACAGGTATGTTCTGAGTGTCATGGGATGAAAGTGTGTTGTGAAATGGGGGTTTGGAACTCTTAATTCAACTCACTGTTTTCGTGCAAGCCGATGTGGCAGGATTATTTCCGCTAGGATGGGCCCG